GGTATCTTTTAAGGTTCCCATTTTGCAATGTCTACGTATCTCTGTATATTCTCCTTTAAAAAAGATAAATGAATGTTTAATCTAGAATCATAGAATCCTGAAATGGTTTGGATTGGAAAGGACCTTAAAGCTCATCCAGTTCCAGGCCCCTGCCATGGGCAGGGACACCTTCCACTAGAGCAGGTCGCTTTAAGCCCCATCCAACCTGGCCTTTAAGGCTTCTTTCTTCAAAAAATAGCAGTAAAGTAACTCCCATGATCAAAGCTAGCATGTGTAGGAAGAAGTAAGATCTTTTATTTGTATTGATTTTTATCTTGTACACAGATCTGGTATCTTTGAAAGTATTTTCAGTATGTCAGAGGCTGCTCTGTGGAAAAGCATGAATCTGGGATACTTCTGACATCCCTCTGCAGTGTTGCAACGTGCCTCAGCCCCATTTTTAATTACATTTTTTATGTGGCATTCCACAGAATGTAGAAAATGAGGTGATCATCTTGAGAAAGAATCTTGTTTAGGAACTCTTCAGTGTTTGAAGGAGAGAAATTGAGTTTAATACTTTGTGAAGCAAAGGTAGTGTTGCTACAGGCTACATGAATCACAGGAACCACAAAACAGCTCCTGTGAGTAAAACAGCAAAGAAGGCAACAGAGAGGCTAAAGCAAACCTGTAACATGCAGCTTGTAAACTAGCTGCCCACATCTTTATCTTCCCAGAGACTTTTACTGAGCACACTGCCAGCAACAGGGCCCAGACCATGAGTTTCCTATGTCAAAAAAGTGCTTTTCAAGGTGACTTCAGCTGATCCTGGAGTCGTACTGGAAAACAAATAGATGTGGTCAGGTCTAGTAATGCAAGAACCCCACTATCAATTTTTCCTCAGGAGAATCTCACCCACCAAATATTTTTCTAGACGTCTGGTCTGCCCATGAGCTGTAAAGCTGCTGGAGATCAGACTTTGATCTCGTTCCTAACTGATGTATGGGACCAACTCCATCATTCCTGAGTCACCTGACCACTTAGTGGGCTGATGAGGCATTTAATAGATCAGCTGTTGTATTTTGTGAGGCTTGTGATGAGCACATGGGTACCTTGACTTTCATTGCTGCTCTCAACGTGGTACAGAAGTGGCAGATTGCCAAAGAGATAGTGTTTATGAAATGAGGTGAACAATACAAAGGGTCTGACTGCTGGCCTGAGTATACCACAACCAGGTTTGCACATACCTGTTGTGATATGTGTCACAGAAAATGAGGAAGGATTAGGTAGCAATATGTTTAAAGGGGACTCAACCTGCTTTGTGCATATCCTACAGAGAAACTGCAGGCTGAAATCCAGCCCACAGTGAGTTTTAAATGTTTGGTACATTTCCTATGGCAGATCTTCCTAGTCAACACCTTCTGTAGTAAGAGCAAGGAGCTCATTTAGTCCAGAGAGAGCTACCTAGAGCCCATGAGGCAGGTGATAAAGAGAACAGCCACAGCAAACCTCCATGTTCACATCCCCTGCACATCAGCCATTCTACACACCACAGGAGCATGTCTGTGGGTGAGGATGGACAAAAGAACGTTTGCCAGAAGACATCTCTATGCACCTCTCAACATAACCTGTGCTGCCATCAGGAGGTGGGACTTGATGTTCCACAGCGACAACACAAATCAGTGGTCATGACTGTTCTGAAGGAACTGTTCTACCAGAGGAAGAGTAGCAGAAGGCCTCTGAGCTCACTCTCTGCTTGCTCCTTGTGTTGGGTCTTCCTGGGCTCTCTCTACCTGATCCTAGTTGATCTCAGTGAGGAGAAATACACAAGTGGATTCTATCCTCAGCTCAGGAACCTGTGTGTAGGTAGCATATGGTTTACTACAAATGTTTTAGCAAATAATAATGATGTGTGAGAGAGAGAGAAAGAGACTGATTGTTAGGAAGGAAACAGAGTTTAATTCTCCAGTCATGTATTACACAACAAATCATACTGGTTTTCTTAATGAAAAATCACTGACATTTCAACAAATGTATTTTATCTGTCATTTCTCAGTGTATTTAGTTGCTCAGTCTATTCTTTAGACTTTGCAAACCCAACTGTATGAGTTATTTGGGGTCTTTTTCTCAACTACAGATCTGAAAGGCTGGTTAAATTGAGGTTTCTGACATTGTTAGGTGTGATGGTATGGTGTTCCCCCATGCACTTCTTTCATCAGTAGGAATGAAGTTCATTTCTGTGGTGCTTTTGTGGTTCTCAGACCACTAATGTTGCCTGCGTAGAAAAAAGGTACGAAATAAGAATTAAGTATTTTGTGCACAGATGAACACTATAAGTCAAGAGCTTTCCCTTCCTGCAGCTGAAGCACTGTCCATGTTTCTTGCTGTTCTGTGATGCCCCAAGCACATGCCATTGCTGGAGGTGAGATTGCAGGCCCAGTGCCCCAGCTGCTATGTTATGTTCTGGAATGGAAATGAAGGTGTCTAAGCAAAGCTTAACAGTGTTTTGGGCAGTCTGAAACCAGGCAGTTGGTGCCTGCTCACTACAGACACTGTTATTATGGATGTTACAGTGCTATAAGGGGAGCAATTGACTCTGTTCTCTCTGGAGCAATTCTCTTTGAATTCAAAACTCTTAATGTAGATGCATTTTTGTTTCTTTTTATACATAGAACTTACTTAAGATTCCCTCTAACATCTCTGTTCAGCTGTGAGGAAAGTCAATTTTTGTCTATGCCTGTAACTATTACACAAATCTGAGCTCAGAATTGTTAGAGATAATGGATACTCAGTGGGACATTCCCAAAAGTGTTACCAGTGTGAATGGTATAATCTGGACAATGCAGTGTTTAACAGCAATTGCTATTTCCAGGGTTGCTTCGAATTGCTGCTGTAATAAGTGGCCATTCAGCACATACCCAGCTAGAAGCTGAAGAGCTCACCCACCTGAGCTCCACAAAGCAGGAAGGCTTGGAAGCAATTAGCCGGAAAAGCTTTGGTGGACTGGGATCAGTGCTGTGCAGCACCCTTCCCACACTGTGCAGAGGTGTGAGTCATGCAAAGTGGGAAACATGACTGGTACCTTCTCTGGAATGAGCCCTACAAAATCTTTGTGAATCTGTGCTATAGAAGTGACCTAATGGAGTGGTTGGGAAAAAGGGCTGGCATTTCCTGCATGGGAATCAAGTATTCCCATTTCCTGTAAAGCTGATGGAGTTGGGCCAAAGGCAAAATTGCTCATGAACCAGAGAGCCTCAAGATGTTTATGAACGGAAAAACTACAGCCTCACAGTGAAGAAATTCCTAATATCTAATCTCAGTCTACCCTCTGTCAGTTAAAAGCCATTCCCCCTTTTCCTGTCATATGAAAAATGCCCTGGCACAAATCTGGTTTTTTTCCACCAGAGATTAGACATTAGGCAGAAGCTCTTGCCTGTGAGGGTGCTGAGGCGCTGGCACAGGGTGCCCAGAGAAGCTGTGGCTGCCCCATCCCTGGCAGTGTTCAAGGCCAGGTTGGACACAGGAGCTTGCAGGAAGCTGCTCTAGTGGAAGGTGTCCCTGCCCGTGGCAGGGGTTGGAACTGGATGAGCTTTAAGGTCCCTTCCCAACCTGAATCTTTCTTTGAGTCTACAATTCCATGATTACAGGCAGCCAGCAAGGGACAGCAGGTTGTTGGCAGCATTGCACCCTGATGGTGCAGACACCGGGATTGCCTTTTCAACAGCAGCTCTGGCAATACACTGAGTGGTTGGAACAACTCCATCTTTTGTAACTCTAACTTCAACCAAATTAGAGTTTAAAAGTTACTGTAATTAACCTGCAAGTAAGTACATTCATACAGTAGTTACGACTTCCATATCCATGACCTGAGGCAACTTCATAGCTTTGCAAACAGTGAAGAAGAAACTGATACCTCCCCTGTGGTGTGGAAAGCCAAACTGCATGCCATTCCTGTTCCCCAAGGCTGGCTTTGTGGGTTCCACACCTCTGCTCCCAGCAAGCTGGAAGTCAGGAAGGTGATTTTGGGAAGAGAGGGGTGTCCCGTGAAGCCCCCCTCATAGCCAGGGCATCCGCACTCAAGGACTGTATCTGCACTCAGCTGCCCATGAAGCAAATACTGCTTCATCCCAGTGCAATTAAAACCAATTAAACACAGAATAATTTAAAACCCCTTTTTATTTAGACAAACACAAGAGCCAGATAGGATTTATGAGCTCAGTTTTTTTGATTGGAGAGCCAATATGTACTTTAAAGCATCGCAACAGACCGAGAAGACACAGTCTTGAACAGTGTGTTGCAATAATGTGGAGAACTGCATGAGACAGACTTTTTTAAACCAATTACTCCCCATCCACTCAGGGACAGATAACCCCCAGACAGAATTCCTTTTCATCCCAGTGCTTGGAACGATGAAGATGAAATGTGATTTTCCCTTCTAATAACCACTCCAAACAGCAAAAGAAGAAAAAGCCTGTGTTTCTGTGTTATGGAAAATAGGTCTCAGCATGCTGGAACCTCTGTGTTTCGCTTATTTTCTACCCCAAATGCCCTATTTTTAAAGGAATGAATAATGCAGTCATGTTCTCTGAGTTATGGTTTCTTTCCTGCCTCATTTGCTGTGTTAGTACAAGAACAACTGTTCTCTGCAAAAAGAGTGATCTTCAGACATCTCATCCAAAACCTTTCAAGTCACTGGGAATGAGCTGAAAGGAGAAGTCCCACGGACCCACAGGCAGATTCCCGGCTCATCGCCCAATGACACAGAGCTGCAGTTCCATCTCTTCTCAGACAGAAAGGAAAACTCTTCTCCAGGTAGGAGACCAAGTGTATGGCATGTAGTTTTCAGGTCACAAGTCAGATAGGAGACTAGAACAGGGGTCAAACAGGGCACAACTGAGTCGAAGGAGTGAATTCAGAGCAAACTCACAGCCAGGAGACATCTTCACTGGTGAGCATCCCTGGGATTTGAAACGTCCATGTTCACCATCACCAGCAGCAGCAGCAGGGTAACAGCAGTGGTCAGGAGTGCTCCCAAGCCCTTGAGAATTGAGACATGTGCTAACAAGCCAAACATCAGCGAGGAGTGCTTTAGAAACCAACTCAGAGAAGAATCTGGAGGGAATTAGTGCAGGGCATGTGTAAAGAGAGTCACTGTTCCCATCTCCAACACCTATAATTACATCTCAAATGTGCTAATAAAATCCAGCGGCTTTTTCTCTTTGTCAGTGTGCCTTAAACATGCTGCTGCGACGCTTAGAAATGAACTTTCTTACACTTGAAATCACCATGCAACCACCAGAAGGGAGGGCGCTGAGACCCACACCTGGCCTCGGGCTGTCCCGCCGCCGCCTCAGAGGTGCGGGGCGTAGAAGGGGCCGAGGAAAGCGGGGCCGAAGAAGGGCGTGAAGGCGCCGGCGCCCAGCGCGAAGGGGGCTGCCGGCGGCACCAGGACGTTGGCAGCCGCGTAGGAAGGGAAAGTCTGGAAGGGCAAAGCGCCGGGACCCGGTGGGCTGGGGCTGCCGCCGCCCGTCACCACCGCCGCCGCCGCCGTCGGGGGGGAGGATGGGGCCGCCCCGTCGGCTCCTGGGTGCTGCTTCTTCCACTTGGTCCGCCGGTTCTGGAACCAGATCTTCACCTGCGTCTCGGTGAGGCTGAGGGACAGCGCCAGGCTGAGGCGCTCGCACACCGACAGGTACCGCGTCGCACGGAACTTGTTCTCCAGGGCCACCAGCTGCTCGTAGGTGAAGGCCGTCCGCGCCCGCCGCGGCTTACCGCACCCCGGCTCGGCCCGCCGCCGCCTGCCGCCCCGCGGCGAGCCCGGCTCCTCCGCCACGCCCGGGCGAGCTCCGGACCCGCTGCCGTCCGAGGCCGGACCCTCCTCGTCGCGCTCGGTGCCGCTCTCCAACGCGGGGTACGCATCTAGGCGAGATGGCGGCGCTGGTCAGGGGGGTCTGCGCACCCTCCTCCCGCACCTCCCCTCAGACACCCCTCGGGTCCCGGCTCTGCTCCTCCGACACCCCCCAGAGCCATAAAATAAGAGAAATCGTTAAAACAAGATAAAGGTAAGGCGAAACACCCCCACCCCCCCCACGCCCCCCTCCCCACCGCGCTCCCCGCTGTGCCACTGCACCCGCGGTGGGGAGGGGGAAAGCGGCGGTATGGATTTCTTACCAATTAAAAAAGAAAGTTATTAAAGTCCCCCTTGTGAAGCGAAATAAATCCCCTCCTCCCTCCCACTCCTCCCCAACCCCGCGCTAATGGAGTTTCAGATTTGCGAGGGCCGGATCGATAGATGTCATCTATTAAAGGTAAGTTTTAATCGAACAATATTAGGATCAGGCTGGGGGAAGGAGGTTTGAAGTGGGCACCTGCAAGCTGCGGGCAGGAGATAGGCGGGAGTCGGTAATAGGATATCGATCAACGGGAGCTCAGGCATCCTCCGGTGGGAACGGGCTGAGCAATTACCCGGCCGGCCCGCCGGGGCAGCCCACCCCTCCATACCCATCCCCGGGCAACGGGGACCAGGGGCAAGAGCCGGGGCGGACATGAGGATGCCTCAGGAGCTGGGGTTGACGGACGCACACCGAGAACTTTTCCCTTCGCATCATCCATGCTTCAAATCCAGCTCCAGCCCTCCCTTCCCCCGCGCTGCCCGTTCCATCCTCCTGCGGGAGCCCCGCACTGGGATCCTGCACCGGGAGCGCACCCCGAAGGACCGGGAATGAGGATCCCGTCCGCCGGCGCCTCCACCTGCTCGCCCCGCCAGCACCGGCCGGAGAAACTCGAGCGCGTTCCTACCATGTGCCTCTAGTTTATTCTTCCCGCTGCCGAGAGCAGCAGCGTCTTTTCCTACTTCAACTCTTCCCAAACTTTCCTCCCGTTCTCCCGAGCGGGGGGCGCTGCCCCAGCTCCCCGCGGCCGGTTCGCGTCTCCTGCTGAATTTCTGAGGATCCAGGATGTCTAAGATGGAGAAGGAGATTTTATGATGGATGGGGGCCGCCTTGCCCCCGCGGTCCGGGCATTCCGGCATTCCCCCCCCACCCTCCGCGCTTCCCGGAGACCTGCTGGCTCCCAGCGCGGAGCCGGCGGAGGCTGCGCGGGGCCGGGCCGCCTCCCGAGCCGCACGGCGGGGCGCTGGGCGCGGAGTGAGCGCCGGGGAGGAGGGTAGGGAGGGGAGGGGAAGGTGGCGGGGGGGGGGGGGGGGGGAACAGAGGAGGGGGCAGCGCAGCCATTGGCACGCCGCCCCCGAGCCCCCTCCCCGCCGGCTCCTTTCTTCCGTCCCTCAATCCCTCCATCCCTCAGTCACTCCATCACTCAGTCACTCCATCACTTCATCCCTCTGTTACTCCATCCTTCTGTCCCTCCATCCCTCTGTCCTTCCATCCTCCCATTCGTCCATCACTTCATCCCACCGGCTCTCCATTACTCCATCCCTCTGTCCCCTATCCCTCCATCCCTCGCTCGTCTCATCCCTCTCTCCTTCCGTTTCTCCATCCCTCTGTCCCTTATCCTTCCATCCTCCCATCCTTCTGTCCTCCCATCCTCCATCCCTCCATGCTTCCATCCCTCATCCCTCTGTCCCTCCATACCAGCCTACCTGTGGCCAGGCTTTCCTGTTCCCTGCCGCAGGCTGGGTGGAGGGATGTGCCGGGGTAGACAGGAGCCCTGGCCCGAGGGCCGGGTCTTGGCCGGCACAAGTGCGTCACTGCTGGTGGAGCCACTGTCCCCTGGGGTCCTTCTCCACCACCCCCCACCCCCACTGACCTGCGTGCAGCCCCCAGCTCAGGAGTGGTCCTCAACCTTCTGTGACAAAGGGACCGAGAGAGGAGGGACAGCTCCTGCATCCCTCCGCTGCTCCAAGCAGACTCCAGGATCAAAGTGCTCTGCTCTTTCAGATGGGAAATGTTTTTTAACTGTTATCTAATTAGATATTAGATAACTAATATCTATTTCAGATTAGATATTAGGAAAAAAATCTTCCCTCTGAGGGTGCTGAGGCACTGGCACAGGGTGCCTAGAGAAGCTGTGGCTGCCCCATCCCTGGCAGTATTCAAAGCCGGGTTGGACACAGGGGCTTGGAGCAAGCTGCTCTAGTGGAAGGTGTCCCTGCCCGTGGCAGGGGTTGGAGCTGGATGAGCTTTAAGGTCCCTTCCAACACAAACCAGTCTGGGATTCTATGAAAACAGAGGGAGAGATGAGCAACTCTTCATTTTGGGGCAGCTCAGGATTGGTTTGTTTCAGACCCTGGGCCGAGGGCTGGCCTGAACTCAAACTCAGTGAGTAGGCAGGGAAACTGAGGCACAAGGTGCTGGAGAAGCACTTGCCCCATGTGGCAGCCCCCTGACAGACTCTCCTTGCCTTGAGACACTTCATTGTCTGTTCAAACTTGTAACTGGGACAGGGTGGGCAACAGCAGGGCCAGCCTCTGCCCTGTGCCAGTGCCATGGCCACTGGTAGCCAGCTGTGCTTATTATAAACTTGCTGGCAGTGTATTTCTGCACATCTGTATCTGCTCAGGAGGAAGCCTTTCCTTCTTGACTGGAGAAGGCAGCCCTCGGTGGGAATCTGCTGCTTCTGCTTTTACCCCTAGGAAGAGGTGCAGAGCACAACCCTCCTCCTATAACAGGTGATCCAGCAGAGTTGGGGTTCCTGTTTGCTGTTGCAAAGGCACAGGCCTTAAGATAACAGGAAAAAGAGAGGATGAAGATGTTCAGGGTGATATAATTACAAGTAATTCATAGAATCCCAGCCTGGTTTATGTTGGAAGGGACCTTAAAGCTCACAAAGTTCCAACCCCTGCCACAGGCAGGGACACTAGAGCAGCTTGCTCCAAGCCCCTGTGTCCAACCTGGCCTTGAACACTGCCAGGGATGGGGCAGCCACAGCTTCTCTGGGCACCCTGTGCCAGCACCTCAGCACCCTCACAGGGAAGAGCTTCTGCCCAAGAGCTCATCTCAGTCTCCCCTCGGGCAGGTTAAAGCCATTCCCCTTGGCCTGTCCCTACAGGCCCTTGTCCCAAGCCCCTCTCCAGGTTTCCTGCAGCCCCTTCAGGCACTGGAGCTGCTCTCAGGTCTTCCCTTCAGGAGCCTTCTCTTCTCCAGGCTGACCCAGCCCAGCTCTCTCAGCCTGGCTCCAGAGCAGAGCTGCTCCAGCCCTGGAATCAGAATACAGACATTTCTGGTTGAGTTGCTGTGTCTGCAGGAGCTGAGAAGGTAAATTGCAGCACTGAATTCGAGACATCCAAACATCACCGGTTTAACACGTGCACACACACCAACACACGGACACGCTTGTGCAGAGGCACACATGGAATCCCCCACCCTCACGGATCTGTTTTAGCAGTCTGTTTGAAGTTGATCGGTTTCTCAGCTCAAGCATTAAAATTCCACCCAAGTGCTGTCTTCAAATTGCTTTGATGCTAGGTGGGTTTCAACCCTGACCTGTCCTGATGGCAAGTGATGGCTGTAACAAGCTGTGGATCAATATTCATAGCGGGTGTCCTGGGCTGATAACACCATCCAAGACAATGTTCGCTATCGGTGGAGACAGCTGAGATATTGCACCATTAGGAATGTTGTTTTAAATAACCTGATCCATTTCTGAGTCTATTTAATGAATTTCACAGTTTAGATATTATCTTTAAGGGAAAGCCAGAGGCTATCCCAGAAGCAGTGATGCAAATCATTTGTGCCAAGTCTCCTTGGATTTTCTTAAAGTGCACTATAATTCCACTGCAGATCCTTATATATTCTGGGAATTGTGGCATGCTATTGATAATGTTAGCCATAAGAAAGCATTTGGACTTTATTGAGGGGGGAAACAGTATTATCTGTAAAGCTGCATCACATTTGATAACATCTTATCTGTGATTGTGAAAGTCTTTACATGGCGAGACAGTGTTTTTTTCTCTCTTGTCTGTCTGTATGAAGTAGTGGGCATGGATGAGAAGATGCCATCGAGGAAGGGCATGGCCCTGTCAGCATCCTTAGCCTTCTGCTGCCATGTGATAGATGCCTTGCTCCCCAAATCCTACCTTGCTGCAGCCCATCCACCCCAAACTCACTCATATGAAGGTGTTGCTGAGGGTCAGGAGCCCCTCTAGGAGTGACAAAAGCAGGGTGGATTTTTAGGAAGGCATCCCCATGCCTTCTGATCCAGGTGATGTCCATCCTCAGGGACACAACATCTTCCCTGTGAGGGTTCTGAGGCGCTGGCACAGGGTGCCCAGAGAAGCTGTGGCTGCCCCATCCCTGGCAGTGTTCAAGGCCAGGTTGGACACAGGGGCTTGGAGCAAGCTGCTCTGGTGGAAGGTGTCCCTGCCTGTGGCAGGGGTTGGAATTGGCTGCACTTTAAGGTCCAGTTTGGGGCTCTGTGTGTCTGAGGGAGTTTATCACAAATCAGGAAGCCAACCCCACACTCACTACACCCGCCTGAGGTGCTTTAACGCAATGAACGCGTTAATTGATGATGGGAGGCAGTCGCGCAAGGTGCGCGTGGTTACACCGCCCGCCTCGGACTACATTTCCCAGCAGCGCCCGCGGCTCCCTTCCTCGGCTCGGCACCTCCCTTCGGCTCTGTTCGGGTCGGCTCCTCACGGCGTGCGGACCATGGCGGCCTGGTCGCGGGCGGTGCGGGGCGTGCTACTGGACATCAGCGGGGTGCTGTACGACAGCGGCGGGGACGGCGGCGGGACGCCCATCGCCGGTTCGGTCGAGGCCGTGCGCAGGTGGGTGACAGGCGGGGCCAGGCCTGGCACTGACCCCCTCACCGGAGGAGGCCGAGGCGGGGCCCGCGGCGGGTTGTGTGAAGGGGGGGACACTGCAGACATGTCCCAGCACATCCACTGCGGGCCCGGCCCTGGGCTGTGGAGCTGCACCCAGCGGCCACAGGATCAGGGTTACCCCCCCGGCTGCTCAGCCCCGTGTTTGCTGTGCGAAGTTGAGCGGGACAGCACAGCGAACGGGCTGGTATTAGGCATATTTAAGGCGTAGGGGGGGGTGTGTTTGCTGGGCTGATGGGGAAATCAACCGTGAGCAGCACCGGCAGCTCATACCCTGCTTGGGTATTGTTTAGTCGTCATCACACATGTAGTGGGAGCTGGTGGTGCACAGGTCTGGCCTGCTTCCTTGGTGATCAGTTTTAAGGTACTGCCCACGCTGGTATGGTGCTGCTGTCAGCTTTGCTCCAAGCCAGGTTGGACACAGGGGCTTGGAGCAAGCTGCTCTAGTGGAAGGTGTCCCTGCCCGTGGCAGGGGTTGGAGCTGTATGAGCTTTAAGGTCCCTTCCAACACAAACCAGTCTGGGATTCTATGGTTCTATGAATTTAGGTGGGACTTCCCACAGAGAACTGACACCCCAGCAGACATTGAGAGCTTCAGCGCTGCCGTTAATGATTGCTCAGCTTCTAAGTGACTCGAAAGCAAAGTATTGTCATGGCAAGTTACTCACTAGTGTCCACAGGTAGTGAACCCTTTCACTTTTAGCTGGGTAATGCAGTCCAGTTAACACAGGAGAAGTAACCATTGCTAAACAGCAGTGGTTTCACTTGGTGAAGTTAACTGACTGCAGTTAACTAGGTTGACTTGCTCGTATCAGCGCTGTTTGACCAGAGGAGCAGGATGGGGCCAGAGGAGAGCAATGGCCACAGGGCTGTCTTTGTTTAAAGAGAGGTATTGATTCCTGGGTCTACTCTGCTGGAGGAGGGAGATCACAGGTTTCTGGAAGAGCCTTTGGCTCTCTGTGATGTTTCAGTAACCTGCTGCAGAGCATCCAGATCTCTTTTCTTGTGGGGAGTGCTGCCATGTGTAACCCGTTTGAAAGGTACGTGTCTTAATGCTGAACCCCTGTGAATTGGTGATTGCCTTCTTGGTGAGCATCTCTGTGGCTTCTGGGGCCCCCCACCACGGGCACACCTGTGGCAAGTGCTTTATCAAGCAGGGAAATGTACAGCAAGAAATTATGAAATTGCTAAAATTAATCATATGAGTTTAGCTAAATATGTGCCTTAACATTGGTGGAGCCACCATGGAAGAGGCAGAATTGGGGAAGATTGAATGTACAGATGAGGTACGTTAGTGTAGGATGTGCTTGATGATAAGCTCACCATGAGCTTATCAAGCTTAGCTTAATAAGTTCAGTGTGCACTTGAGCCCAGAACCCCCCCTGCGTGCTGTGCTGCACCCCCAGAGCATGAGCAGCAGCTCACGGAGGGAATCCTGTCCCTCTGCTGCTCTCTGGGGAGACCCCCCCTGCAGCCCTGATCCAGCTCTGGGGCAACAGCACAAGAGGGAGGTGAATCCTGTCTCCTATGGGACAGTGTTGAACACTTTGCGCAAGCGCAGGCAGGCTTTGCTCTGCCCCTTGTGAGCCTGTTTGCTGACTGCAAAGGGACAGGCACAGCCTGGGTTAAACTTCTCTGGCTTTCCTGCTTGTCCCGCTCAAATCCTCCTGGTAATGTTGCTTCTGCTGAGGCTGATGCAGGTGGTTTGTTGGTGGAAGTCTTCTGCTCTCCATCTTGCAGAGGAGCACATCTTCCTACCTTCCTTTCACACACTTTCTGCTGGGACATGGCATATGCTGGGACCTCTTGGCATGACCAACCCAAACATAAATAACTTCATAATAGCTGCTGGTGAGAAGATCATTCCTTTCACAACCATGACATACTCTACAATATCTGAACCACTTTTGCCATAATGTTGTTTTTTCTATGAGGTTTTTAAACTTTATTTTATGCTGTGTTGCAGGCTGGTATTAAATAACTTTTGTCTCTGCCTTTGCTGATAACCTCCTGTGTGGAGGCAGCATTAGCTGCAATTTGTCTTACAGCAATATTAGAAATACAGTGATGAAACAACAGTAAAACTCTGGCCTTGGGCTAAATGTAAAATATTCTGGGCTTTTTCTTGCAATCCTGGGAATGTGGCATTCATATAAGTGGTTCAGTATAATTAGTTTCCTTGGGTAGGGTTAAGCAGCTGTATTTATCTGTCTTAGTTATGGTTCCAGCTCCCACCATTTAAGATTGTTATTGACTCTTATCCTATTGCCTGTTGGTCATTAATTGTTGTGTCTGTGTCACAGCAGAGGTTGGTGGTTTCAGGCAGATGGATTTAAGCTAAAAACAGCTCTTCTTTTAATGAATTCATGTCAATTACTAAGTCATAATTGCAAATAGCTGGGAACTTTAGAACTAGTTCATATTGATGTGATCTTTTGTTACGAGACACGTCTGAAATCCTTCAGTGCACATGTATAGGAGTCTTAAATGCTGTTTTGATCATTCATATTGCAGCTATGGACTCTCATAATATGACAGCTGACCTGTTCTCTTCAACTTGCTCTTGCTACGTCATCTCCCACACCACTGCAGCAGTTAACTCAGTGTAAGAACGTGTAGTACACAGCAGTGAAGGTAATAAGTAAACACTTTGATTTGCAGTGAAGCCATTTCCACTTGTTAAAACTATGCTTGCAGTATTTTCCTTGTTTTCAGCCAGATTCTGCAGTTATTGGAGTTTGTATCTGAGGGAGTAGCAATGTGATTTCTACCAGCAGAATTTGGCCAGTTGTATGTTTATGATGCCTGCAGGGGGGCGGTTCTCTCTTGTTTGGTTTTAGCAGCAGTACAGTCAGGTGGAACAGAAAAGTGACTGAAGGAGCTGATGGACACTGAAACATCCTGACCAAGATGAGATCAGTAACACACTCCCCAGTGCTGTAGAGACTCTTCTGAGGAAAGCATCAGGAGTCACTATCAAAGCTGGTACAACTTGTGATGAAACACAGAGTGTTACATCTGGGAAGGCTTTATTTATTGCTCACATGTCTGCATCACTCATCAATCTAAGTGTGAAATGTCTTAATGTTCACTCTGCACTGACAAGGAATTGGTAAATCAGAGACCAAAAGGATGAACCACAGAGTATTTGTTGTACAGAGCAGACCACCTGTGCTTAAGTAATGATGAAGTGAATCCAGATCCTTTGTAACTCATCCGGACTATGGCAAACAGGCACCCACGTGCCTAAGGGCACTGGCACCCCTGGTTTGACCCAGAAGCCATGGTGCCAGGAATGTTATTAAATCCACCAGGGACTGCTAATATTAACTTTAGGTGGGGATATTGAGTGCTGGATGACTGGGAAATCCAAGAGCAGCTTGGTAAGATAATTTGGCTCTTTAAAACTTTTAAACCCATAATGTTTCTTGCTTGTTTAATTTACTGTGGCATATGTTTTAATGAAGTCAAATAAAACACAGAGTTAAATAAAACCCATCTCTGAGTGTGTGCAGTTAACTGGCAGACACGGTGGAGCAGATTGGAAAGCCCATGGACAAGATCAGAAAGCCCATCAGGGACTTAAAGGCTTCTTCTGGAGTCAGCCTTAACAGTGCCTCTGCATGTGCTGTTATTGTCTTAACTGATTTACACAGCATTGACATGAGGTGAGCTATTCACTTTTTAGCTTACAAATAGCAGGGAGCTGGTCTCTTACAAGACAGAAGGTGGTTAAACACCCATAAAAGATGTCAAGGCTCTGCTCTGTTATTTGCATTTATAACTGTGTGCTGATAGCATTCCCATTAGCATATCCATATGAAAAGCACACGGGAGTTGAACATTTACAACATCCTGTTGTTTGGCCGGTATAGTGCATCTGTTAGCACAACTTACTACAGGGTCCTTTAAAAGAGCAACGGAAATCTGGGGAGCAGGGAGGCTGGGGAGCAGCTGGACAGTCCTGTTGAAGTAGAATACCTGGAGAGTCTAACAAGGGGTAGGTTGGGAGGAGGACAAGCGGAACTGGAACTGTAAAGCAATTCAGCATGCAGGGGTTTGCCTGGGACAGTTGGGAGGTCACAAAGAGCCCTCTGAAAGTGTATGTGTGACAAGGAACAGGGAATCTTTGTTGTCACAGAAGATAAATGAAGCGTGGCTTAGCCCAGTGCGTGCAGATGTTCAAAGTTTCAAGGCTTGCTGTGCCTCCAGAACATGCAATAGCACAGGAGTTGTTCCTCCTAGAAAGAAGCTTTGAAATAAAACCATACAAACTCTTGTGCAAATATCCATTTGTTTGTCTTTGCACTTAACTCTTTGCCCTTTCTAGCCATGGATCCCAAGGAAGGGTAGTGTCACTTGCCCTTTGTGAAGCCGCAGACACAAAAAGTTGAAGCACTTTGTCATGCAGAGCCAGAAGATCCAGGTGTTGATCCTCAGTGGGTGCAGTTATCACTGCTTCATTCCAGTCTGTAACATTAACTGTGGCCTCCCTCAGTTTTCAGTGGCCCTTCCTAACCCATGTTTGCGTTCCTGATCAGCAGCGTTCATTAATTCCTTAAAAAGATCTTTGTCCCTGAAGTCGTGGGGACTCCAAGTGCTGTCTACACAAATTGCATGAGTAAGTGCTTATGCTTTTGGAATTTAATCATCATTAGGGTCTTGAGCTACACAATTATGTGCTTTACAAATATTGACCAGCAAAGCATAATAGGAAATATTACAGTGATACCTACTGCCTACCTACCTAAGTGCTTGTTTGTCCACTACCTTGTGTAAACACTGATTAATCCCTGAAATGGGTGAGCAGCACTCTGCCTCGTTCTGTGCTTTAGAACTTGAGGCTTGTCTCCATTTACCACTGCAGTAGTAATTTTTTTCCCCTCATCTTTCCTGTTTGCTGAGCTCAGCCTGGGATCTTAGAATTGAGCCTGATTCTTTGCATA